AAACCCCGCCCACTTTTTCCTCCAAAAATGCCGTCGAGCGGGGGGAGGGGGGGGAGGGTATATAGTCACTCTAAGACTGTAAATATCCTTACGAAGTTTCCTTCTATTCCACCATTTCAACCCCCTTATTTAATGACCCATTATACTACGGCCACTACTTGCCTTATCTTGCGCGCCCTCTACTCGCACAACCTACTACCCACGAAATCTTAGTTTCTCCTCAATCCCACACGTGATTTCGAGCGACTAAAGTGGGTACGACCCCCCCCCTCCTACAAACTCAACCAGGTACGACCCCCCCGTTGTTACTCGTAACAACGTAGGGTTGACCCTGCCTCCAAGCCACAGTCTATGTACAAGGATGGAATAGATAAGAAATGATCGCCTTCTATTACGAAAGTGGAGTCACAAAAGAAGGTGCATTGCGAGTGGGATGAGCACGCCATATTTTTTGGCAGGTGCGAAATGTATGTCAGTGGGGACTTCTGCCCGCTGCATCGCTCCCAACGATATCATAGGTCCTTCATCCTTTCGATACTTCCCCCATGGAAATCGCTAAACGACTCTGTGCCGTTTCCAGAGCTCAGGAAACTTGGTCTTACTCACGGTCAACAGAATCCCCCTTTCCAGCCAGCACTTAAATCTCCTTTTTCGCCGGTTCCTTCTCGCCTCCACTCCTCGCAGGCGAACTAATGTATCAGGCATAGACAATGGTCCTCAGTGGGCCCTAAGTAAGCCTCTTTCCCATGACGTCACTCGTGAGCTTGTAAGGAGGAGGAAGAACAGGCCTAGAGCTGAACCTTGGTGAAATTCAACCGTGATGTTTACCTCCTTTGTTAGGCTATGAGGAGGTTGCTTATTGTCGCTTAACCAGGAAGGTCTTTCAGGGCGTGACGAGCTTTTTGAAAACGGTCTTTTGCATGATATAGGGGCAGATGCGGGGACCACAGAACCATGTTTCAATTTTTCCTGAACGGCCCTCTGAATACCGCAAAATGGAGTTAGAACCAACCAGAACAATCAGAACTCCATTTTGCGCGAATTTTGGAACGTCAACTCGAAATGCAAAAATTTGTCACCAAGAGGAATCGAACTAGGGACCCCCTTTTCTGGTATTCAGAGGGCCGTTCAGGAAAAATTAAACATGGTTCTGTGGTTCCCGCATCTGCCCCTATATCATGCAAAAGACCGTTTTCAAAAAGCTCGTCACGCCCTGAAAGACCTTCCTGGTAACCCCGTATACTTCTCCTTTCAACAGCGGAGATCCAGCTATCGTGGCACGTTCCGTCCCTGAGCGTCTCCCAATAGTACTGCTCTGGTAGCCGTCGAACGGCTTAGCGCTTCTCTCAGATATATTCTTCACTCACTTACCTAGCGATAAAGGTGGTATTCGTTGTGGATCCTTCAAGCATTCAAACTGTTTCCTTGGAGATCAGCACCAGTCCTGAGCTTCACATCGATCGTTCGTTCGTACAACTTCATGGTGAGCGCGGTCAGCTTGCTTCGGCAGTAGCTGGATGTCAAATCGTGTTTCAAGCTTACTGGGGCTCTAGCCATGTGGGATTTTTGAAATTCAAACTCTATATATCCTATTTTCAGTTTGTAGATACCTCAACACTATCTATCATGTTGGTCGCATCGGATCGCTTCTGTGAAATACACGGCGACAGTCTGTTCTAAATCCCTTGTTTAGCGTCCAGTAGGGGATCGAAATTGGCAGAGGGTTTTGTCGCGTGACTGAGGACAGAGAAGCAACTCCCGAGTAAAGTGAAACGCCGGTGCATTGGATTGACGGACGTGCTCTCTTTTGGCTGAATTCAGATGAAGCCTGATTTCTGAAGAATTCGAATTGGTGGTCTTGGAAAAGGACCCAGGAAAGAGGTTCTAAGCAGGTTCAGATCCTGCTAGACAAAGCAACAACAAATGAGGTGGCTAAGTTCTAGGACAGGTGGGTATACTGAGCTACCGCGTCGCAAGTTTGGTAGTTTTACTCGTTGATCTATTTCGATTCCTACTTAATTATCCACGTTGCGCATTTGAGCTTCTGAAACATCCCAGCGGGTGTTTTTCAGTATGCCAACATATTTCGTGATGAGGCTGATTTGACATGAAGATAATTGATTTTGAACGGAAATCGGCCAGGAGTCATGCGAAAACTCAATATTTGATGAAATTGAATGAAAACCGGCCAGGAGCCATGCGAAAACCCAATATTTGATGAAAGCTGTGGCAACAATCGTACATTTGGTTGTAAGATCGTGTTCGGCTAAAGTGCAGGGTCGTAAGCCATCGATAGTGTGTTAAGGTTAACCTTCTTAGTTATCCAGATGCGGGTATGACCGTCCTGACTAATGGCTTAGATGCATCCTTTGATATACCGACATATCGCAATGACACTAATTCGAAATGAAGAAATATGAATTTATCAAAAATCGGACAGGAATTATGGGGAATTAGGAATTACCAAAATCACTTGACAAAAAGATCAGCAATTACTCAGGGTGTTGTATAGTAGGTCTACCATCGAGGAGCAGCACTTATCGAGAGCGTTTCACAAGGAACCAGTAGCGCTAGGATCTGTTCACACACTATCGATGGATTACGACCCTGCACTTTAGCCGAACACGATCTTACAGCCAAATGTACGACTGTTGCCACAGCTTTCATCAAATATTGGGTTGTCCCATAACCTTGGCCGATTTTTGTTCAAAATCAATTATCTTCATGTCAAATTAGCCTCATCATGAAATAAGTTGACATACTGAAGAACACCGGCTGGAATGTTTCAGAAGCTCAAATGCGCAACGGGATAATTAAGTAGGAATCGAAATAGATCAACGACCAAACCCAACGATTATGCCTTACGACAATTTTAAGAAGAACCTTGCAAGGAGCGCGGTAGGCAAGATCAGCGCTACGTTTGCCCAGTCTTTGCTACTGATCGGGCACTGAGCTATTGGCTCAATAGCATCGGCAAAGGCGATAGGAGCTGCAAAGTTCGACCTCATCATGGACCTCCAGTCACTTTCGATGAGGACCCCTTGCGCTACGAATAGGAAGTGCATCGCTATTAGCAGGAAACTGTAGCAAACATCTGGACGCAGCCTACGCTCCATGAGTCGACACCTGAATGGAATGGACTGTAGCAGAATGAAGCCTCGATGGAAACAGCATGCATGGACTGACCATGACCGAGAAGCACGCCTGACCATCTGCAGGTTTCATTCTGCGACCGTATAGACAAGACATTCCCTAGTTGGTCACCAGTGCAGATGAGTCACGAGTCTACCACGATAACAACCCGCGGCACGCCTGGTGGCTATCTTGCAGGCAGGATCACGATCTCAACCAAAGCCTAAGCTCTTTCAGCAGAATATATTACCCGAGGTTTGCTGGACTCGCTGGGTATTCTATTTGGAGAACCACTTCACTTTATGCAGACAAGCATTGTGAAGGTAACCATGAAATAACTTCCGAAGTTGGCCGTAGCAGAACAGCTCGAATCGTCCCGAAATCGAGAAGTCGGCGAAAGAAAGGAGGCCATGGGCGTGGCATGCACCAAAGTAGGCGGGGCTTGTTCTCCTTCCTTCAAATTAATTCCCGACATCACATTGCAAAGATAAGCTCGCCACGTTTTGAGGGAAACTGGCTGGACCACGACACCACATCTGTCGTATAGCCCTGACATTGCTCCATCGTACTATCACCTCCCAGCTCCCTGAAGCAGCAGCTGGAGAAAAAAGTCAGTAAATACAACCACCCCAAAACGACCTCTCCGAACTTTTCATCCCACAGCTTCACTCGTTCTGGGAGGAATGCATCCATTCGTTCCCTAGCAAATGGATGCATATCAGTGATTATGATGGTGGTTATGTTTTTGATCAATTGTTTTTAGGAAAGATAAAACTTGAAGAAATCAAAGTGTTGAAATTTCGGCCAGAAAGTTATGGGACAACCCATTACATAACTACTTGTGAGCCAATTTCCCTACAGCAGCGGTCTTTGTGGTGCTGCATGATCCACAAAATTTGCACTGACGATAGGCATTTTCAGAAAGTATTGCGCAAGTACAGAGTCATGCTTCTAGTCACTATCATCACCAAGACGTCTCGAATTGAATAGGAAATTCGACGAAAATTCGGCTTGGTTCACCTAGTTTTGCGAGACACCAAACGATGTGGGTGAAAATTCATTAAAGGGGGGGGGGAGGCATTCTGTTTTGTTCTCACGTATTTTGAGAAATGAATGAGGGCGCCCATAACGCGTAATCAGAGCTCATTGAAAATATAATTTTGGTAATTACCGATGCGATGTGGGAGTGATTCTGAGGTGCTTCCACATTTTGGCCTGCAGATTTAAGGAAACGATCCTACTGACAGGGGAATGGAGAGCTTTACTTCGGCCTGACAATAAAGTTGGAGGAGCTCTAAGGTGGATGATACGGTGAAGCATATTGAAAACGATATGGACAGGATGTGTGGAATGGAGGACAGTTCTTCAGAAGTGCACTTCAAATGATCGGTCACATATTATCTGATCCTTAGTGTTAGGGAACCCAAAGAAGTGCACCCTACTACTAAGGGTAAAATAGCATGGAGTTCCCTCCCCTCAAGTGGCATTTTCACCACGTGCTGAGTCTGCCTTCACTCCTTTTTCGTTACACTGCGTTTCATAAATATAGGTCCACCCTAATTTTTTGCTATTCCAAAGTTGCTGTGCATTTTTGGGAAATGCCGCTATTACCAATAGTTTCCCCATAACGAAAAACCTTGATACTTGATTTCTGGAGAAATCTCGATTCAGAATTATTAAAATATCTTCCTTAGAACGTATTTTCACCGTTTCGCGAAAGCCTCGTCATAAACAACTTTGTTCACAAGCAGCTGTACCGATGAAAGCTGTGACAACGAACTGAACCTAGCTGTGTGACTATGTTCAGCTAAAGTGCATTATTCTCGTCTATAAATAGGTGGGGAGAGAACAAATTCATCACATCCAAAATGTTCCTCATTGTTCCAGTTCTGGTTCTCTTCCTTGCGAGCGTCTACGTTCAAAGTGGTGAGTAATGCCGAATTGATGTTAAAGCCATGTATAGATTCACCATGAGTATTTAAGTTCCTAAGGCTGGTCATAATGTGAAACTCACTTCAGAGCGTACTCTTTCACCCCACCAGAATCTGCTGCCACCATCAATGAAAGATATGTTCAAGAAGGTCAATAGGGATTACAACGACAAAATAGTTCGTTTTTTCTCATATCTTAACTTGAGGCCAAAAAGCAAGAGAGCCAAATCTTGGGAAAAGTTCTTCTATAAGTTCATAACTAATGAACTTGGTTTACAGAGTTGGAAAGGCAGACTCGCGGAAAGGGCGGTGAAGGAAGCATTCACACCGAATGATACGAACTCTAGGTGGACTCTAAAAGTCCAAGGAACAAGGTTCGTGGAAAAACTCATTCTGAGTTGTTGAATCGAACATTGCATTCATTCAAACATTATTTCGTGTTTCTAGAGAATTCGGCAATGCTAGTAACCTGGAACAAAAGGTCGAGAAAGTACTGCGCGGGAAAATGGAAGAGAAAGGATTCGGACAGATCGTATAACTTGCCGTTGAATGTATGCTATAAGCAGTTATTACCAACAGCAGCATCGCCATGCTTTAAGCCTTTAGGCCTCAATTCACGATACCCAAAAAATGCACAAAAAAAAACTCCTATTTTCATATTTAAACCTGGGCAAGGATTCGCTTTTTGATAGAACTGAAAATGATGCCCTATTCGTTTATTGATACTACATCGTTATTTTCGCTGATAACGTTTACTTCAGCTCAAGAAGCAAAGTGGGTTGAACGCGCCAGCAACCTTAGAAAAAATAGGAAAAGTTGGTACTTTTCCCGGCTGTTTTCCGCTTTGAGCCGTTCACATTAGTGCTAAGGTCATCAGCGTGTACCCTCTGCCTTCCTGCCTAAGCAACTAGAGTCCGACAGTGAGATCGCATCTGGGGTAGCCTGTCGGTGGGCGGGAAGAGGGCGAAAAGGACGGGGGAGTTGCCTTTTATTGAAGAAGCTACGAAGCGCGCTCTTTTGGTCGAATTGTCTGTGTATAGTCTCGTTTCTGCGGCACAGTATTTCTTCATAATGAGGAAATATGCCCTCATCCAGCACATAATTTAACGTGCAACCTACCTTTTACTAACACTTTGAGGATGCTTATGTTATGACTACCATTGTTGGCCGTTGACCTGGCTAATAGGCTTGACATTCCTTTCTGCCTTTCACCGTTTTTCCTTTGCAGTATTTCAAGCATTGGTTTCTATCCTTCAAATCGAAGTGAGGCACTGAGATTGCCAAGTACATCGTAATTTGGACCGTAGAGTGCTAAAAATAGTCAAAGTCAAGGAGCTGTATTCGTTTTCTTGCTTCCTAGAGGTGTACATGTTATCCTTATTTTCAGTGCAGGCGTGGCTTTCCGAACCTCCCCATAAGTGATCCACTTTAAGTTTGCGTTACATAAATTTGACGACAGCTATCTAATCATATTCAGGTTACTAGCCTTCGAGAAGGAACGAGGTACGGCTGCGGCGCTGCTTTTACAGTGCAATGAGCAACGGAGACGGTATTATTTTGCAAGTCGCGTGCATATACAAGTGATAAAATGTCTAACTGGTCCATATATCGCTCAACGGAGTAATGAGAAGTGCTGAAATCTTTCCTACTCGTGTATTATAAGCCGTTGCAAAATAAAATGCATTTCCATTTGCTTGTCAAGAATTCTAGCGTTTTCTAAACATATATTTATTGTTTACTAACAACGCTGGGCTTGAAGGAAACTCAAGAAACACGAAGTTATACTAATCACAAATGTAATTGTCCGAGGTCTAATATATGTGACGCATACGAGACCAATTTGAAGAAGGGCTTTCAAAGCAAGTAGAGCTTTCACGCGATTATGTTGCAATGGGGGGGCAGGGGGGGGGGACATTGAAGTGAGTCATTTACACAACTTGGGAATAAGCTTCAGGGAGGGGAAGAAATTCTGGAGAGGACGTGAGCAAACTTTGTTCTTCCGGGCATTTCCCCTTCTCGTGGGCTTGGACCTGGTTTCATCTACCAGCGGTTCTTGAATGCTCTGTTTGGTGGAATGTCTCCGTTAAGGGCAGCGATCACGATAAAGAGGGAGCGCACCGGGGAACATGTGTACCACACGAATTTTTTACCTGGCTGCCAGGAAAGCAAGGTATAGTTGGTGCGCTTCCTCAATGGAGAGGGTGCGCTGGTTGCTGGAGCAGGACTTCGAAAGCACTCCGCCCCCAAAAGCGATCCGCCCACTAGTTACTTGGTGATTTGGACGAGCTGCGTTGCCAGCAGCGGCACAACTGAAGCAACTCGACTGGAGCATGGATTGGCATGCTGTCACCAAACGCGTTGCGATGAACTCGTTCATACGTCCGCTTTCTGAGCTGTTACCTGTTCATGAGTGAAAACCAACGGCCAAAAAGGGGTCCCGTTTTGCGTTTTCTTGACGGATTTCTCCGCTTTTTTCGCCACTGGCGTACCACTGAGCACCACCAGTCTCCTATAAACCCTTCTTGAACCTATCGTAATCACTGAACATGAATGCTAGAGCTTTCTTATGTAGCAACTTCACATTATAACATGAAGATCCTCACGAGTGCGGTCAAGCGTGCGACAAAGAATGCTCAGCAGGGAGGTGTTGTATTTGGTCCGATGAGAGGATGGAGGATAAACTCTGCCAATGATCGATTCCTGTTTAGGATCCCACGCATCCTCTCTCACAATCGTAGTGGCATTTCGAATGCGAGTTGGTCTATACTATGACAAGCGGGGGCCAGTCGATGTAAATATTAATGCTTTTATCCTCGCACAAAAGTCTGGACCCCCGTGGGGACAGAAGACTTGGTAGACTCGGACACGTACGACCCAGGATTTAATCCGCGCACCGCGCACGTCACAAGCACATTCACTTGCCACTACGTACTTCCGCCGTCATGGGAAGAGGGTGTTGATAATGCTGGGAGAACAGCAGGCCCATGCAGTCGCAGGGTCCGCTGTCTTGGAGTAAGCAAACCAGCCCTTTTGGCGTTTCTGCTGGGCCGTATGCTGAATGTTGGGGAGGGGATGGGGTCCCCGACGGTCGACGGACTACTTCAACTCGGTCCTTAAAACCGCCTCAATTTGATGCTTACCTCAGGACTAAGCCTTAAAGGAGGGGACGGACCTGCGAGAAAACGCACTCTCGGAAAGAGGACGGACCTGCGAGAAAACGCAGGTCCGTCCTCTCTTCCAAGGCTTAGTCCTGGGTAAGCAAACCAGCCCTTTGGCGGAGCTGCTGGACCAGCTGCACCACTTGCGTCATTACTCTCCTACCCGTACCGACCGAGTTGAAGTAGTCCGTCGACCTGGGGACCCCATCCCCTCCCCAACATTCAGCATACGGTCCCAGCAGAAACGCCAAAAGGGCTGGTTTGCTTACCTCGCTGTCTTTGCCAGTCGTCGCCACTATAATCTGTCAGGAAGTCTTCCGCTGTGACCCTCAGTTAGGTCCATCTTGATCACGTTCCTCCATCTCTTATTTATTTTCGTAGTTGCTTGCCTTGCGCCCGAGGTCCATCGCTTTCCTTATCGAGTGGTCCTGTGGTCTTCTTACAAGGGAAGGATACCAGGTCGAAGTGGCCATTTGTAACGAGACATACACCACTAGATGTGTTTTTGGACGCTGATCTCGAATCTGCTCTCCAAATCTGCGGAACGATTCTCTGAACGTAGTTATGAAGCGAAATAGTGCAGTGGCAGCTGCCGGGCCGACGAACAATAGGTCGTGAGATCGATTTCTTGGCGAGTTGTCAGTTTTGCTTTTCTTGAGAACATTGTTTAAAGGAATCTCATTCATGCTAAATCATCAGCGACTGCCTATCCTGCAAATGGGTAGAGCTGGCGAAGAGCTTCGAACACTATGCGCGTCATTTGCGAATGACCGTCTCTGGTACTCGTAGCGCACATGTCCAGCACTTTCGCTGCCATAAACAGATATGATATTCTTGTTCAGCGTGTCAGACTACCCCCTTCGAGGACTTTTGGTCCAAATCTAAAACTTTGACCTGAAGTTGAAAATCTGGGCACACACGACCGAATGGAAACGGCAAATGACGCGCATAGTGTTCGAAGCTCTTCGCCAGCTCTACTCACTTGCAGGATAG